CAAACGCCGACGTGCCGTGGAAAGCGCCGCTGCCGTGGCTCCTGATACCACTGCTGCTCAAGTCTACTGGCAATGCCTGCTGCAGAAACAAACCAGCTTTTTTAAGCCACTCTTTAGACACTGAAGGCAAAGTCATATTCAAACATCAGATTTCAAAAAAATAAAAACAAGCAACTGGGATCCAAATTTTGAAGTTTTACAGTTTGACTCTGGAACATTTTTTATTGTTATTCCTAAATTCATTAATCAGCTGAGAGACTAACTTCCTTACTCTAGACTCTGTAAAAGCCAGCCAAAAACTGCCACCAAATACCCCCAACACCCCCCAACCAAACTAAAAACCCCAACAAAAACCCCTACAGTAGATAAATAACATTGATAGTTCTGCATACTGTAAGTTAGCACAGTATTGTTCTTTCCTATGACTGTACTGTTTTACAGCTGTGATTTAATTACTGAAAAACAATGCTTGTAGAGGAGCAACTTTTTTATACTTTTTATATACAGGACATTAGACTTGACATTTTTCTTCTCTCAAAGCAGCTCAATGATTTGCACTGCAGAACTGCTATGATGGGCAGAATATTTCAAGGTAATTATGTTAGGTTTGCTATGCAGTCACTCATCTTACAGCCATTACGAGGTCAGCCATCAATAATTACTTGAAGGGTTAAGTCTTTCCATAAAATTTCAGGGGTTTGTGTTTATATATATTACAGCTCAATTTTTCCTTTTAGCTCCCTTGTATAACGCCTGATGCAGAGCAAGCAAGTAATTTCTAATTCAGCATCCTTATCCTATTCCCTCCTATCTGGAACAACTTGAAATCCCAAGTCACAAGGTGTGATTGTGAGTCACAAGGATTAAACATGCCTGTTCGTGGTAAGTGGTGCCAGAACTGCTGCTTGCTCCACACGGGGCAGGCACAGGAGGAGGCCTTTCCACAGGGCAGCTGGAGTCACTGAACGAAGGAGACAGCGGCACAGCTGGGTGAGGGTTGTGGTGGTGATGGTGGTGGTGCTGGAAGTGGTGGCCATGCTGCTGGAAGCAGCTGGTATGTGGGTGTCCCAATGCATGATGAGTCTGTGAAGGCCCTCCACAAGGAGAATGCTGAGGGCAGCACGATGGCAGCCTTGGCATGGCCGGAGGGCCAGTTTCCAGTGTCGAATTAGATGCAGCTCTTCTTACTTCATCTTGAAGACAAAGTTAATATTGAAGTGAAAAATTAGTAAAGCTGATCACTGTAAAGCAGTGACTTAAATAGAAACAAAACACCCTGTACCTCACAGTTAAGTATTTAACCAATTGAAAACTAGACTGTCCTGGTTCAGGGCAAATCTGGGAGAGAACAAGATGATTGGGGATAAAAGCATCATATAGTCAACCCAGGACATAGACTGTAACAAAGCAAACTAGACACAAAAAGTAGTATTTAGCTATACCTGCCACATGAACCTAAACTGAATGGTTCAGGTGGAAGTACTCATGGCAACCACTGGAGGACAGGAACTGACACTTGCCTTAGTCTACAAATTTAAGGCACGTCATCAGCAGGGAAAGGAAGAAAAATTGTTACTGTGGTCAGTGTGCAGAGACCTCAAATTCCTGTGCAACTGTGGTCCACCCAGGTTAATTGTCCCTCACCACACTTGCAGACAGGGCAGCTTTGTTCCAGTGATGTCATCAGTGCTCTCTGTATATACAGCTCTATATAAATGTGCTCCCAGGGGGTTATCCACAGCAGGGGATATACTCAAGGAATCCAGATACATCCTTCACTTTCTTACAACATACATTGAAATAACACTTCTGTAACACACTGAAATGAGAAGTTTAATTCCCAGTGAACTACATTCCACCTCCTCAAAAAGCAAGGATGTGGTTTGTTCTGTATAACCAAATCATTCCAACAGGCACAAACAGAAGGCTCCAGCACATTTCCTGTATCTTTATGGAGAAATCAATGGTCGTTTTCAGATTCCTGTCCTCTCAGCTTACTACTGTTAGGTTCAGTACCAGAAGCTCACATGGGATTTTAGAGAATGCTGATTAACTTCCTCTACCCTCCTTTGTACTCAGAGACAACACAACAGAGCTCATTCTGTACCTCCAGTTGAAGTGCCAGCAGTGCTGCCACTGGGGAGACTGGGAGTGGTCTCTGGTGCTGCAGAGGGCTGGCTGCTGGAGACGTTGGGAGCTGCATCAGAGGCCTGCTCTGAGGTAGAGGTACTGGAGCTGGTAGTGGAAGCAGAACTCACGGCCTGCGGCTCCACTCGAGCTGATGTGGTTGGCACAACTGTCGGCTCTGGTGAAATAAAAAAGCTTTCATGTTCTCTAAGCTTTAAAAGTGCTGAGGATTTTTTATTGTTGTTCCTGCTTTTGAACCATTTTACAAGACATTCGCGATTCTGGCCTTGCCAGAAGCTAAGAAAGTCAGAACATAAAAACCTGACAGGCTTGTGTGTGGAAAGAAAATTATCTTTTTTTTCCTCTCTTGCTTTTTTAATCTACTCACGTTTAAATAATTAACATAAAATCAATTCTCAACCAAATCTGACATTTAAGTTTTATTTACTGGATAAAAAAGCTCCTACTAGAAAAGAGATTAAATTACTTCAGTACTTTACGATAAAAATGCTTTCTGATATGTTCCATTAATCCACAGGCAAACTACTCTATGATTAAGTATTATCCTTATAACTTTCTATTGCCTATGAAGAACAGAACAACTTTTAGACCACTCACCAAGAACAGCATAACATCTAAGCTAGCAGTACTACTTTACAAACTTCCATTATTCCAGATGCATTGTACTAAAGGCTTTAGCAAGATAAACTTGGTTTCTAGTCTCAACACATGCTAAAAGCAGATTATCAATATTTGAGACTTCTCTTAAAGGTACATACCTGTTCATATTACATATTGCAAAGCTAACAGTGAGCAATGTATCCTGGAAATCCAAAGCACTTGATGAGTCTTGTCCTTTACTAGATAATTGTAAACAAGTTAAAGTTTAAAACTATACTTGGTGGCATAATTAGAATTTAGTTTTGAAAAAGACTTTGACTATAAGTTTGAAATTTTTCTTAAGTAATGAAAGGCAATGACATGACTAAGAATATAAGATACCATAAAAGGGAAGATTATCAGAAACAGCTCAGTTTTTTTTAGTAAAAACGTTTGCATGGATATCGGGGGGGAAAAAGCATCAAAAAACTTCAAATACTTCCTTTACACAGAGTCTCAAAATAAAATATGAGTAGTTTTCAAGACATCTCTCTATATCTAGCAGGAATATCAGCAACTCAGTGAGCAAAGGAATAAATGTATCTTCTCCCTCACAAGTCTTCCAACTCATCACATTAAAAAAACATGATCTGATATCTACATTTAGATTCCTCTTACTTTTAACATGGCCTCCCAATGTACTAATTTTATTTATTTTAAGGACAATGTTTTGGGTGAAATATATTAATGTTTAAATTCAGAAAATGAGCAACTTTATAGAACATGTATAGCCTACAATGAGGAGTGATCAGGCAGTGCTCAGCCAGCGGCCACCCTGAGTTCCCTCAGGCTCAGGTTCCCCACCAGCCCTTACAGACACCTCTGATCCTCCCCTGCCCAAACTACTGAAAAACAGGGGCCTTGGGCCATTGTGAACTACTAGCTAAGAGAAACTGGATTTCTCAACTCACTGCCCAGACACTGGCCCAGGAAAATAAAATGAGATGGGATCTTTATGCTCAGGGAAGCAGCCAGCCAAGTTTTAAGACCAGTATCTTTGATGAAATAGGTAAAGTTGGGCTAAACTCCTTTTACGGTGTTAATTCAGAAGTCAAATCATTTAACACTAATTCATGTGTGAAATTTGATGCCTAAAACCAAAAATAGTATTCCTTAAATCCTGCAAGATTCATCTTAGGCATTTCCTCTGGAAGGCAGGAGAAACAGCCAGTCTTTAACACACACACATTACAGAAGTGCATTTTAAAAATAACTCGGTTTCTGAATCCAAGACTAAATTCTATAATATGAATTTTAAGAGTAAAGTAAAGCAATAGAAACCTACACTGCACTCCTTCAACAATAGAGCTGTTGGGATATTTCACAGTAAATACCTAAAATAAACGATCCGTACATCAACTCATCCTCTACCTTAAGTCATTAACCAACCAAAATTATTCTCAAGCCTTTCTGACTCTCCATCCCACCCCAAAAAACACAACTTGAAGAATGAGATACTGCACAATACTAAGCTTGCAATGCACTCGGGCAGAACCACAAGAGAACAAAGCTTCTGTTCACATTACAAGTAACATGCACCAAAGAAATCCCCAAAACCACCACCATCTGCAAATGTGAAAAAACGTACATGAGCTTCAGTTTTTCCTTTTCCCAATTTTATGGTAATTGGTAAGTTTCTCTTATGATCTTCAGCAGGAATAGACTTATTAAGTGTCAGCAGGTTTTAATGTTAGGAACCAATGAAAGGTTACAGCTTCAGAAACCTAACACACTTTACTAGTTTAGGGTTGGGCTTTTCTTTTTTTAAAAGCTATTTTTACTTCAAGGCCTGAAAGAACAGTCACTATTCCAAAGCATAGGCAATGATAGACTTTCCTTTTATAGTGTTGCATTGAAGTAAGTGCATATTTTTCAAGAAGTAGTTCCAACCTGTTCTGTAATTTCTGCCTGGTGAGTCAGCCCTCAGACACACACCCAAGGCAGCTTTGGAAGAAAAACTGTATCTTTAGATCTAAAAGACCCATTGAAAACAGCTAAACTTTAAATTTTGAAAGGAAGGGCACATTATCTGACAACTTTGGAAACAGACATTAGAAATCAGACTTAGAAGGGTACCTTCTATCTGATGCAATTAACTCCAGCGCCCTTACAGCGCCCATCCTGCTCCTGCAGAGATTTCTGTGACAATGCCACTCACCATCCTCATCCACGGTGAGGTCCACGACTTCGGCGGCGTTCTGCCGCAGGGGCTGGATGACGGTGGAGACCCTGCTGCGGGAGCGCTGCTCCGGCGGCCGCGCCGCGTGCGAGCTGGAGCCCGCGGCCCAGTGCGAGCGCGCGTGGCCGAGCGCCGAGCGGGACCTGCGCGGGGGGACACCTCAGTGCTGGCCTCAAACTGGCCACCAGCCATTTCTGCTCCTCCTCTCTGAGGAGCTACTCGCAGATTTTTATTATTAGAAAAGCATTTTATTACATTGAGATACACCATGACTCAATTTTCACAAATTCTACTGCAGCCTTTACCAGAGCACATAACAGCAATTGCCCAGCATGGGGAGTTTAAAGGTCCCTAAGCCATGGCCCATGTACATGCAGATATCTTTAAAAAAAAATCACTGTGAAACCCTACAGCCATGGCTAGGCAGCAATTACAGCTGAAATTGTTTTGGGTTTGTAAACAGTAATTGAAGAGTCTCCAAATCCTATACTGCTCCTGTGCAGTCTGAAACAGCTATAAAAGGTCTATAAATGATCTATAGGTCTATAAACAATGACAGACCTATGAAGACACTAAAAATTTGTAAACATTAAATACTTTTGCATGCTAACCTGTGACAAGAGTACTTTCAGAGGACAATTTTTATACTTCAAATTTACAAAGTGTCGTGACTGTACAAAATTTATGGACCTTTCCCCTAATATGATTTTGCTCCCTCTCTTTGGAGAACAAACACAGCTTTTTGTGATACTTAAACTAAAATGCAATGTGGCTTGAGGAGATCCTAAGCCTGTAACCATATCTAAGGAAAGGGATGGGTTTATCTGTTTTATATCACACAGCACCCATTCTGTTCAGTTCAGCCATGCAAACCCCAACACTCAAGACAATGATTTTTGGAGTGCATATCCTCTTTGAAGCATACAGTCTTTAATTAAGGGAAGAGTATTTTTACAGTCTTGTATTTACCATTGCACTCCCAAAAAACTTTGATTCTCCAGTATTTACATCAATCAAGTGGCTTTTATTTTCCAATTTGGAAAAACAATGTACTCAGACTTCAGAAATTCAGACGAGGAAAATGTGAAGAAAAGGGAATGACTTCACTGAAAACAAACAAAGCCCACTGCACAAATCACCATGGAGCTACTGCTCTTTTGGCTGGAGCACTGCAGAAGGTGAGGGAAGAAAGAATTCATTTTTTCAAGTCTTAAGACTATTACAGAAAACACATCTTATTGATGCTAGGAATATATGAAGCTGTTTATTTTTTACAAGCATCTAGCTTTAGGGAGGTTTGAATTTGAAGTTTTCTTCAAGAAACTCCACTTCAATAGATTCTGTAAAATCTAAGAATATGGAACAAAACTTCCAGAGATTCTTGGAAGAATAGGAAAGCATATACAGCAGCAGCTTCAAAAAAGTAGGCAGCTTTCCTGAGAAATGCTGAGCTAATCCCTAGATAGTCAACTCAGCCTACACAGGCTCTCTCTAGGATCTCACTGTGCAGCTTTGCTTCCCCCAAATCCTGCACACCAACCACACTAATACAGCCACCTCAGCTACTCCAGATTAGTTCAATTCTCAGGCTTTGGCAAAGCTGTGCTTTGGGTTTTTTGTCCTTACTTAGGGGGTTTAGGATTGGGGCTTTTTGTTATTGATTGGGTTTTGTTTGGCTTGGTTTTTTTAATAAAAAATTCATACTGTGCATTCTGGTCAGAATTCCAGTGACATTACCTTATGGGCTTTTAATGGCACAAACATTGAGACAAAACTCAGAGACAAGCAAGACTTTATTAATGCAAAAAGATGCAAATCTCACCTGTAGTTTTCACCAACTGTGACAATCTCCACTTCACTGTCTGTTGAGGTAACATTTATTTCTTCGTTAGCAGTGACTTGGGGAGTGGAGGATGCTTCAATCACCACAACATCTTCATCAATACTTCCTGATGAGGAAAAAGGAAGAATAAAGTTTCCATACTTTATTTATACTTCATTCACCAACCATCATTATAAGAGATTATTTTTCACAGATTTAAAATATAAGTAGGCAGAGAATTCCATGGTGAATGTCAAAACCTTAGGTGCAACTGTCAAACACATGACCTAATTATTAAAGGGAGCAATTCTGCTCTAAATACTGAAGGAAAAAGAAGGAAGGAGACAGAAGACTGAATATGGGGTAGGTATGCGAGCTTGCATTAAAAGCATTAAAAGCAATTGCAGTGAATTTTATTATCTGTAACACCAAAAAAATTCAGTCTTTTAATATAAAGACAGAACAAACTTACAAGCTAGCAAAGTAGTAGTGGTTTGTTAGCATTAACAGCTTTTTTTAAAAAAAATGTTTTTAGAGGTATCAGTCTCAAGGCTAAATATTGACAACAGAAGAAAAATGATCCACCAACTACTTAAAAAAATATTCTTTTGGTGTTTATAAACATCTTTGTATCTAGACTTTTTGTGGCATTCACAATCTGTACTAGACAGAGGAAGATAAAATTAAACTGAGAATGATAAAAAGCAGCAACTGAAACCCCACAAAAGAGACAAGTTTTCTTAGGAAACAACTTCCACTTCAGGAATAATGGTTACAGTTCCAGCCTAACAAGCAGACACATGAAATACTTCTCTAGAGCTGCAACACTGGCAGTGACAAGTCTGAGCCATCTACAAGAATTAAATTGAGCTATGGATTATTCACTGAGCACAAAAGAACTAAAAAAATGAGCTGTATAGCTTAGAAATCACTAACTATCATTTTGGTTTCTGCAAATTGCCTCAAGGAAGTGCTTGAAGAATTTGGTCTCATTCAAGTCAATACTTCCATCCTGTATGCACAGACTGTTCTCAGCTGCTTCACCCTATGAGAAAGATTATTCATTTTTATCAGTTTTTCTGCTTTGAAAACAACTCAAACTGCATTACCTGTTTTCCAAAGGCCTTTGTTTCTGACCATACTTATCTCAGAAAGATTGTTGGCTAAAGTTGTAAAGAATGATGCTTCCAAATACTGATACTAACAAAACTCTGGCAATAGGAAGTAGTGTGGAACAAAATCAGTTCTCACAACTTGCATGAAAAGTTTGGGGAAAACTAAAAATACCACACGGTCTAAAAAACAAAACAACATTCCAAAACTGAAAATACCAAAAGGCCAGTTACTCAGAGTGAAAGGTAGCAGCTAAAGCCACCAGCACATCCAAAGGAATGCAAACATTGTGCCTATCAGGGCAAACAAGCAACAGCTTCCTCACACAGAACTATCTCAGTCACTAAATTTATCTGCTGTCAGACAAAACCACCAGCCAAGCAGCTGGGAAAAGGTCCCTGAGAAAAACCCCCAGCTCCTCCTTCCATCTCCCAGAGCTGCACTTCTCTGAAATACAGTAATTTTCAGAGCACTCCTCAGAGTCCACATGTCCTGAGGTTGAGTATTTATTGAAATTTAGGACAGATGCCAAAGTAGGAAGAGTTAGGCTTAAATATGATTTTGTTACTTCAGAAAACAAAGGACTTCTCCTTGAGGACAGAATCATCTAGAATGTAGATCTATACTGAAATTCACCCAGTGTGCACCTCTACTGAAATTCTGACACAAGCTCATGAAAACCAAAGGGAATTCTTGACTATGTACACAATTCAGACACCTTTCTCAATTTTCAAAAGCTCATTTTATTCAATTGTTTTTTAAGCACTCCTTTAGCTGAGAGGTGATTGTACCAACTACACAAATCAGACTGGTACTGAATGAACAGGTTTTGTGACTTCCAAACTAACAAATAACATCTTTAGGAAAACAGTCAAAGTTGCTCCAAGTAGGATACAGCACAGATATAGTTCAGAGACATGCAACTTCCCATTGTTCATGCCTCTGAAAACACCTTCCTAAGTCAAAAGCACAAACTGATGAAGTTTTCATCCCATTAAATACTTTCCTATACAAGGAACCAATACTTTCTTCAAAATTAAGCAGAAAAACGACTATAAACTATGTAAATATTTAATTGTCTTATACAGTCCACCATGATACAGTATAATTCACTTTTTTTTTAGCACATACCAGTCACTGGCCAGTCATCTGTCTGTAAAGAACTTCAAGCAAAATTTAAAGCATGAATAGCTCACACATCAGTGCATCCCCTGAGTGACTGAAGCTGTAAGAAGGCAGCTAAATCTGGATAATTACAGAGTTAACCACCCCATTCCTCAGCTCCTGAGGGTTCTCTCACTTCAAGAAGAGTCACTGCACTGCTGACAGCAAAACAGCTACACAGATGGAAGAGATGTATTCTGCACTACTTTCAGAATAATACCTATGGCTACAAAACAAACAGAAAATCATCCTCCTGCAGGCACACATTATTTCTTTGTCATCTTCTGAATCACAGAACACATCAAGAAAATTATACTCTAGTTATTTGTGAGTAAATTAACCTTCAGGCCACCACTGAAAGACTCAGTCTGCATTTCAAATGAGTTTCTTAAAAACAAAACTTCTCTTGAAAATCAAAGTAAGGATTTTAATAGTTTCCACAGAATTTGAGGTGTTTGTTTCCCTTCTCACATCTACTATGTGAGAATATTTACACATCTATTATGTAATAATATTTCATAGTGCATTCAAGACACCAATTTCAGTTTGCAAGTTTTGCATTTCCCATTCAGACCTTTCAATAGCCATTAGTAATTAAGGTCTGCATGTGACTATTAATCAGAAATAATCAGTAACTTCTTCACATAAGTTTTTTCCCCTCTTTTAAAAGCCTTTTCTATGATGGAAACCTAATGCTCAGCTGGCCTAGGGGAAGGGATAAACTGCACATGCTTGAATCCAAATCTGAACACGTGTAAAACTGTAATCCTCTCTGAAAAATAAAAACACACTCTCATCCAGGCCTTACCTCACAAAACCAGTAAATTTGCTATAATAAAGTGCCTTTGTAAGCAGAATATAACTTTTATAATAAAATAAATATTATATTGGACTCTAAAGTTCAATACTTAGGCCAGTAAATGACATATTTTTCCCTAGAAAGTTGTAAGGTTACTTTACAGCAGAAATTGCTATGTGCCAGTGATAGACCAACTTGCTGCTTTAGAATCAAATACTTAAATAATCCAGAAGTTGTAAGCAGAAGACTAAGCTTTGCACACTATAACATGTATAATATATACAATTATACTACTATTTAAAAGACTATGGCATAACTCCAAGATTAATTAATCATCATCCCAAGGACCCCACCAAGGGCATAAGTAACACTGGAGTAATACCCAAATTTATGTTTGGCTGATGCCGTTCTTAGAGGGTATTTTCACATCTGTTTTGCAATTAACATGGAATTTAACCAGTCTGAATATTACATGTAAGATAACAAAAGCATTTTTCAATATACAATTTCAAATGAGAGAGTCTGATCAACTCTTAAGTGAAAGCAGAAGAGATTTAAAATCAGCAGTCAAGTCTCAGTGAGAGAGCTGCCTTATTCTGAGTTCCAAGCTTGCACTGGATCAGACCAGGAGCCCACTCAGGCACATGTTCTCTCTAACAGCAGCAGCAGGCAAAAACACTGTGCAGTGAGGGCACAAAATTCAGGCTACAAATTTTAACTAAAAGCTCTCATAGCACCCAGCATTCACAACAATGTCTCAGATGTCAGAGCACACTTTCTTGCCCAGTCATTGCTCAGCTGTCAGTAAGTGTGTTGAATGTGGGACTGTGTGCCCTAACAGCCACTTATGCTCAGGAATTAAAGACAATGACTTGGACAGTAATTCAGCTTGAAATGAATAAAATAATACCCTGCTATATTAGTCAGTAGTGTCTCCTTTACCCTGCAATGTCTTGAGCCAGCTATGGCTGGCAGCCCTGCCCTGACAGAGCACAACAGCACCCCTGTACGAGCAGCCATCCCCTGGGTCACAGATTTGCGGCTTTGCTCTCGTTCTCAGGCTCTGAAGGTCCTGTGACCCAAGCAGACAGACCAAACACATTTGTCCTTTCCCTCCCTAGATGTCTGAAGATTCCTGGGCACCAGGACAGTCACTCCCTTCCCCTGGTGGCCTTGAAGGTCCTGCAGGAGGCCAGGGAGGTGCTGTTGATGAGTGTGCCACAGTGCAGGGGAGCTGAAGCACCCAGAGCACTGGCCAGAAAATGCAGCAGCTGCAAGCTCCAAGGGGAACCTGGACCAGAAATGCAACCCCCTCCTGTCACTGAGGCAAGGGACACCTCTGTCATCATCTGCTTCCTCTGAAGACTGTGTGAGTGACTCATGCTCTTTTATATGGTTATTGAGTCTAGATTATGATTGTTAGGTTGATAAAGCAAACCACACGTTAAGATTTGACCTGCTCTGCAGAGGGTCCAGGTGATTAGAAATTTTAACTTGGTGGTAGTACAAATTTTGTACTATGCTACTTGCAGATTGTATTACATTGATTCTACTTAGAGAAATCCGGTGCCATTCTACTCACAAAATCCTGCTAAGAAAAGACTTAATTGTAACTAAGATTTAGTTTACATTCTTCAATTACAATCTTAGTGTAACTAAGATTTAGTGCTGTCAACATTCTAGCAAGAACCTGCCTGTTCCCTTAGGGTTGTGTGATTACAGTTTTTTTGTACTGAGACTTACTTGGAATAAACTTTCCAATAGCTGTGCATGATGGGAAAACTTTTCCAAAGCATACAAATTACTTAGGAGTCTGCACCCTGGTGGAAAAGACAGTCAACCACAGTTGAGGGGATTTTTCTAACTATGAGCCATGCTAACTGAAACCTGTACTGACTGTTCTTAACCTTGCACCAAAAGCAGCCCTATGGGCAATGCCACAACAAGCCAATTCTACAAACAGCATCTCTTCAGCACAGAAAGCTGCAGCAGGGCTGGAGTGATTGCCACACTAACTTCTATTACTGGAGCTATTTAAAGCCCCAATCCCCAGCAGATGGACACAGCAGCACTGATTAATGCCCACTGCTCACACAGGCAGGTGCTCCTTCCCCCACCACTCCTCAGTTCTTCTCCAGCAAGCAGCATGGGAAACAGGACACTTACACCCTTCCTTATCCACTAATGCTGTTGAGATAAAAGGTTGGAATTATCAGCTGCATCAGTTGGTGTGAGAAAAGGACTGCATGCTGTAGTTTGTAGGAGGGATTAAGTAACTGAAAAATAATCAACTTTACAACAGGCAGCTCACTTCCACTTAACACCTGTTTATCTTAAACCTGTTAAAATAATCTCAGCATGAAGCAGTATTTGCTTAACGTTTTCACCAGCCTGTGGCTTGTAAAATGTTGAATGTCTATATTCAATGTTTTTTTGGGAGACAGACAACAAATGTTAGAGAGTTAAGATGACAGTAGTGAATAAACACTGTCTTATCATTTGAAGCAGCTTTGAACAAAATTTGGAGCAGCTTCTCATCAGGATTACATTCTAAGAGGAGAAAAACCTGGCTAGCATTAGTTGTTCAAAAATATAAAATATAAAATAACACATCAGACCCTGAAGGAATGGTAAGGTAGTAGGTGAACAATTTGAACAATTTATGACAATGCAAAACTCTAAACAGCTTGTTTTTTCTAATAACACTTTGCTCTTTTCCAGAATTCTGCTTTATTGCCAAGTCAGATTAAAAAATTGCTCTAATTTAAGCTTTTGCTAGATTTCCCTCCACAGACTGCCTCCAAAGTGCAGCTCCAGTTCTTTAGATCCAAGATGAAAATCAAATTCTTGCAGAAGCAGAACATTTGCATTACAACACAAGGAGATCCAGCTAGAGCAAAAGTTGAATTTTGCCCCCTTTCATAGGCAAAGGTGGATGAGGATTATTTCTGATGGTGTGTAGAGGGTTAGAGAAAAGCTTCTGCACCACCTAAACAAAACACAGAATCAAAATTCATGTCTCCCAGCAAAAATGCTGCCTTCTGTCATTTTAATTGCAATTGAAACCAAGTGATGAACACTGCAATTAGAACACAGACCCTGCAAGCACCTGCACCTCCAGCTGCAGGATCATTAAACTGCACCCAGCCGGCTCCACGCTGGCCTCGTGCCCCAGCTCCTGTCTGCCCTCCCCAGATGCAATGAGAACAATGCCTTCCATGGCACACAGCTGCTACAACCAAACCATCCCAGGTGTCAGCATGTACTGTGCACACCCTCACACTCCAAGGTGCACAGGGTTTCACCTGAAGAATAGCTTAATGGAACAGGAGGAAAAACCCAATATAATGCTATTTGTTTTCTTGGTAAAGGTTTTGTTAAACAAACAACCCCCCTTCACATCTCCATTAATATGATTTTTCCAAAATTAGCCAAGTTAATTTTATTAATTTGAAGAACTTACTAAATACTTCTTAGGTTAAAAAGGTCTGTTACTTTAATTTCTTGCAACAATCAGAAAAATTGTTTTCAATTTAACTTACTAGTTCTTTAAATGCACTGTATCTTTAGCTAAGCAGCAACATTCAAAGCAAAGAAATATTTTCTGCAAAATCCTTAATACAAATTGCTATTCAGTAGGCTACAAGACTAATCACATCACTTTGAAGCCTGTTTTTTTAAAAAAAATCAGTTATTGCCACATCTTTTTAAACTGTATTTTCTTTTCCAATTATTATTCTCCTCCTTTCCTAAGCCTGTCCTCTAGCACCTTTACATATATGCCCCAGGCCTCATATTGTTAGCAGAAGTTATTTGTCTTCAGCACATTGTAAATTCAGCAGATATGTAAAGAAATTCTCCCTAACATTAACAAGCTCATGTACATTTCTATCAATCCCAGCCTTTCCTCATATAAAACCCCATCCTGCTTGCTCACTACACAGAGAAGTTGCATAGCTGCTTTCCAGCTGCCCCCATTTCTGTCCTAATTAACTCAATAACCAGAAATGCCTTATATAACAGCACAAAGCTACCAAAAATGTTAATCACATTTTTATCTAGCTAAAAATAGGACACTTTCACAGAGGATGTCTGCTCAACTTCCCATTATATCTGCAATGTAAACAAAATGCTCAAAAACCTTTCCATCAATCTATATTTCCACTGGAAAAACCCCCACAGTATTCTCACACACGAAGGCAGAGTCACTTTCCAGCTCCCTGCAAGTGCTGGTTCTGCAGTACAGGAATGAACAATCTTTACAGCAGAACTTTCAGTCACAGCTCATGTCAGTATTCTCATCTAAAATTACTGGTGCAGAACTAATCAGTTTTCTCCATTCATGACATGAAATAGACACTTGCATTAATTAAGAGTATAAAAATTAATCCACTGGACTTTTCCACATCTGTGTGGAAGGAGAGTTGTTACTGATCCTACATCATTTCAGTTATATAGAAATCTACCCCTCCTGAAAATGGTAAGAAAACACTAACTTGGAAACCAATGTGTTAATGCAGTAGTTTCTCAAACTGGCTTTTCATATAAATGTATGCATCTCCCTATTATTTATTATTTACAAATCATATTCTTCAATATGGTTACACATGCATGCCAAATGTAACTTTTTTAGGCCTAATTAATTTCTATTCCCACAAATATGCATTAAGATAATTAAGGCTGTGCAATAATTCTTCTGTTTCAGTTATACATGCCCAGCCCTAGCACTGCAGAAGTAAAACTTCAGAATTACAGATTTTACTTGTATTTAAACATCACAGACGTTATTTCCTACTGCAATGAGTAACAAGCAATAATCTAGACTTTACTACTCTGGTTCTGTTCAAGCACAAATCCTGCCCTGAATGAATGAGCATTCACACTTTTTTTTTTTTTAACCTGTTCTTGTATTTTCAGCCACATTTTCTTACAGGAATGATTAGCACAGCCTGAGATAGGGTTTCACTTATTAAAGCATATTTGTTACTAGATAAAACACATGCTTGCACAGATTAACACCGTGCTGTGTTCTATCCACTTCCCCATGCTCTCTAAAAAGCTGAACCAAAACAGAATGCACAATTACTTTCACTTGGCAAATTTAACACAAAAGGAAGTCCAAAAAAATCTGCCAACTAACAAAAACCCACAACAAACAAACAAACCAGGAAAAACACCCAAAACAAACCAAACTAAACAAAAACATTCCCCAAAAAGCCTTCCTCCAAGCACTCAAGGATTCAGATACTGTGACAAGACATTAGAAAAATCTGGTATATATAAAATACTTTTCTCTCATTATCACAATACTAAAGCTACCTTCAACTGACTCATATTTCAGCTCTTATAACAATATACTTTTTTCTTCATATTCTTCTAAATTTTCAAGAACGGTTAAATATTAGCAGGTATTTCTACATTCTGAAAATAGAATTATTACCATAATCAGTTCAAAGCTAAATTTTTAACACAATTCAACAGCTAAAACAATAAAAAGGGATCAACTCAGCAGCATGTGATTAATCAGACTGAGCAACTTCCATTATGTGCTGCAGAAGCCATTAACTTTTACATTCAAGATTTTAGATTTGAATGTACTAAGGTCTGAATGTACTTCTCCCATCAAGAATTGATGTTGCAATGCTCACAGTACTTGCAGTAAGTCTATCTGTAGTATTAACCTCAAAAACTGCTCTAAAGGACTTATACAAAAGCCTATTATACATAATGAAAGGTAACTAATACAAAATACCTCAGGAATTGAGTTTTACCTGAAGGAACAGCTGTGCTATTCTGGTGGTTTTCACCAGGTGACACAAACAAGTCCTCCTCCCCTTCAGTAGATGAACTGGAAGAAGATTCAGTACTGAGATCATTCTCACTGGAGCTGCTGGAACTGGGGAGTAAAGCATACTTTCTTCGAGCCAACACTTCCCGCTTTTTCCTCTGCATTAAAATTCGTTCTTTTTGGTTCTGTGTCCGCTGTGATGAACTTGTTTTCACAGCTCTCTTCCTATATGGAAGTCTTCTTAAAGAACTGTTGTGAAAACAGGGCCTTTTCATCAATAACCCAGGTACAGAGTCCGCCTCAGTCCGAGGCCACTTTTGTGACCTTGCACTGTGAGTTCTGCTTGGAGTATTCAGCACTGCCTGAGGGTGTCTCACAGGAGCATCCTTTTCCTCATCAGATGTTACGGTGTCAGAGTCCCCAAAATGCAAGCTAGATGAAGGCGATGAGATACAGTCACTAAAAGAAGAATCATTGTCTTCACTCTGTGTTTCTAGATGCTGTCTCAATCCTAAGATTCCTTTATTTTCTTTATCAGGACAGTTCTGAGTGTAGGAAGGACCAGCCTGCTGGCTCTTGCGTTTTTTTCGCACCACAATGCCTTTCTCTTGGTCTGTATGGTTGCCATTCATGTCCTTTTGCTTTTGAGAATCACCACACAAGTGAGAGAACTCATTCCCTACTTTACTGGCAATCATCTCAACTTCTGCAGTGAAGCTCTTGGCCTCTCCAATAGGCTCAGGGTTCAAGAGGATCCCCTTCAGACTCTCCTGTCTCTTTGGTGCATCAGAAGGAACTTCACTCTTCATATCCGCTTTTAGGGTATAAACTATATTACATTCAGGAGTCCATTTAGACATGGAAAGATTTAAGGAAGGCCTAGAAAACAAAACAGATAAGCATCAGGAAAAGAAGCATTCGATTTTTTTCAAAAGCAAAGCTGAAATAAGAGAAAACCCATTTACTGCTAGTACTAATCCCCCAGTAGGAATGGCAAAACAACAGTAACCAAAATACAACTGTTTCAAAATAAAAATGTTCCTTGACAATGTAATTTTTCATTAAAAGAGAGTTCTTTAATTTAAATTCTTATGGTCAGTGAAAACATTATCACTCTCACAGAGCAAATACTGGTCTATGTCACCTGCAAAACCAATGACGTCTATCTTACTAATACTTAAGCACGGCAGTTACAGGCTGCAGCTTACAGAAGTTACCTGAGTTTTGGCTAAATAGCTCCCATAGCCATCAGCTAAAATGCCTGCTTATTAAATAAGGCCTGTGTCTTCCCCTGCAGCAGAACACATGGACAGTAAATAGCTCAATACAATACAAGGGCTGTATGGTGTCAGTTGAGTTATAAAAGTCAGTTACTTGAATTCATCGTTCTTTTTTGACACACAAAAGAATGAAACATGAGAGATTTTGAACTGTTATTATTTTGGGGCAAAGTAATAAAAATCCATTTATTGCTTTGAGTCTCTTAAAAACCACCACACATTAGCAGTACAATGTACAAAGCTATTTGCAGTCCATGTACTTTTGACTCTTACCCTATGACAAACACTGAGTACATCACAGCATATGTTCCCTTAGCAGTCACTATGGGGCAGCTTCCCCTCCCTGCAAAAATATAAAGCTGCCAATGTATAACATGAGCCTCAAAGAAGCACTTTTGTACTGGAAGACACAGACAACAGCAACCTCAGTAATGGATCCATGTTCAATCTGCTTCATCTGCCATCTCTGCCTTTGGTTTCAATTCCCAAAAGGGAATGATAAAACAATTTGGTTCCCACTGTGATAAATACTGGAACTCTTTTCTGTAACTAATATCAGGGGGTTTTATGTAGATACTTGACAACTTACAGCAAGTTGTGCTGAGCTACCAAAAAGCTACTAAAGAAAACACATGCAACAATGCCCAAAGTGGAATAAGGCTGCCTAAGCAGCACAGCTGGGAAGATGCATGAAGCCAGAAAAACCACCTGAGCTGTTCTAGAAACAGCAGCAACAGCCACGCAGAGCCACCCGGACAGGCCGGTCTGCATGAACCTCACAAAGCTGCACACGGCCAAGCCAAGTCCCGCACCTGGGCTGGGGCATCCCAAGCACAAACACAGGCTGGGCAGAGAGAGGGAGAGCAGCTCTGGGGAGAACTTCAGAGGGTGTTACTGGGTGAGAAACATGACATGACCTGACACTGTGCTTGCAGTGGCTCAAAACAGTGTGGCCAGCAGGAGGGGACTGTCCCTCTATTCCACCGGGACTAACATGCCCAGCTCTGCAGCTCCCAGCATAAGGACATGGAGCTGCTGGAACAAGACCACAGGAGGGCCATGAAGATGCTCCCAGGGGTGGAGAATCTGTCCTGTGAAGACAGACAGAATTGGGGTTGCTCAGTCTGGAGAAGAAAAGGCTCCAAGGATACATTACAGCACCTTCCAGTACCTAAAGGGGTTCCAACAGAGCTTGAGAGGGACTTCTGACAAAAGCATGTAATGACAAGACAAGGGGAAATGGCTTCAAACCAAAGGAGGGCAGGTTTAGATTAGAGACAAGGAAGAAATTCTTCCCTGTGACAGTGGTGAGACACTGGAACAGGTGCCCAGAGAAGCTGTGGATGCCTCCTGGAAGAGCTCATGGAAAAGCTGGGCTTTAAGCAATGTGGTCTTGTGGAAGGTGTCCCTGTCCATGGCAGGGAATTTGGCAGTAGATGACTTTCAAGGTCATTCCATGATGGTTCTATGATCTGTGGCAGGTTAAGCAGCCCTGCCTACTCAGGTCCATAATCCTCTGCCTGAATCTCCAAACCCTCCAAAATGCTAATGCATCCTTACATGCAGAGCTAATATTTAATACTCATTTATTTCCTCACAGAACATATCAATACAAAACTGAGACTACAAAACAGATTTAAATAAGATTTTTTTAGACTGTTTCACAAACTGATGCTTTCAGGAGCAGCTGTGAGCTAGCTGCTCCTAACAGATCCTAAAGAATTACTTATTTCAGTTTGGAATAGGTATAAACATCATCCCTGTGTCCTCTTCATAGCCATAAGCAACTACGATACTCCATGTGATGTTACCTGGGATAAAAACTTTGCAAAAGGCATCAATGCTGCACAACTAACATCTACAGAAGCTGTAAGTTGACAGGATCCTTCTGGAGATCAAGAACCTTTCAGATCCTAGAACCCCAGCTGAAAAGCCCCATTTGAATGCTCTCACTGGAAAGCCTACAAGCATTTACAACAACTACTGTTAAATACGAGACCTATATCCTCTGATAACAGTGTTGCTGTTCTCTATAGGAATTACAGCAGATAGGCTTGTCTCACATGCAAGCCAAAAGCTAAATTCAAGTTGGAATTGCCAGTATAGACAAAGGGCTCTTACTTCATCAAAGCACTACTTTTTTATAGCAGTAAGTTTTAGTGGAATGCACTATATAAGGCTACCTTTTTCTTTAGGGCTGAAAAAATAAAGAAGAAGCAAAACTGGAAAAAATTGGAAGTACAAAAAGCCTACGTAGGAAACAAAGCCTATCCAAGCTGTGGAGTTCTGCTGTCTGCCCTTCCCAGCTCCAGCTCTTAGTCAGTCCTCACCATTCTCCATCCATACCACCCTTCTTTGGAAAATACGGATCAAGACTTGCATTTTATCCAGTTTCTAGTAAGGACAGGAATGCAGCATTCAGACCTTCCAGAAGCACACAGAACAAGCAGTACACAGTCCTTCTTCTCATCCTCCCAAGGTCACCTTTTAGCTCTGTTATTTATGCACCACAGTTTTACAGAAATGTAACAGTGTAGTCAGTATTCACCCCAGTCCAAAGGCAACGCAGACCCTCCCACAATAACCCTGTATTTTTTCACAAGTTTTTTTAGAAAATCCAGAAAATATTTCAATTGGGGGGATTTTTTTTTTTATTTAGAAAGCTTATTGTCTTTGAACACAGTCATAACTTGCCAGCATATACTACATGGCCAGCCTATACATAACTGTTTCCTCTCCTTTGAACATGAAAACTTCAGAATCAAAGAGAATTGACCCCTCAATTTTTTATAAGAAATTAAAATCTGAACATTTTCTCATTATGTGAGCACAACCAAGGGCTGATTTACAAAGGATTCTGTTCTATTCACTGGAGTGCTATCCCCCTTTTTATTTTTAAACTGAAGTGGAGGAATCTCCATCAGTATGAAAATTCTGCATGCTGAATGTGATTATCCTTGCATAAGCTCTGTTTACTTTAGTGCAGAAGTGCTGTGCTGAAATACAGATTTACCTATTTAAGTTATCACAAAAAAATTAGTGCAATGATATTTACACTTTGAGAAACCTCAAACTGCTGTAAGATGATGAAAACCTGAAATTATCACAGTGAAACCAAGTGCATCTGAAAGATTATTTACTGGATTTGTTTTATTCCAACAGGGAGCCTACGTACACTAGCCAGTTATCATCGCTTCAAACATTTTGTATATTTTTACTCTTACAACCATGGAAATTCAACCAAGTAATCAAGAGCTCTCTATTTTTGCTAATCAGTAGAGGCCGAAGGGCTGCTTACTCACAGGAGAGCTGCTGCCTTCAACTACAAATTTACACAACAAATAATCCATTTCTTCACTATTTAGAAATGCTATTACAAACTTTCAAACAAAAAATTTGACCAAAAAAGACAAAATCTGGACTAGATTTCAGTCCATTTAAAGTATCTTCAGTGGTTAAACATAAATGTCCATTTTTCTTCTGCACAGAAGACAAAATTTAAGAGGGACTACAAAAATAATATGCAAATAATTAAGTCATTAGAATGAGATCATCTGCTGTTAAAACATTTAGAAGTTCCTACAATATATATTTCTAATTAAAAGTAGCCCTCAGAAGCTTTTTCAAAAAGCAGCAAGATTAAGTAAGTTCAATCAGCATTAGTGTTCCTCCTTCCTAATCAAAACATCTGCCTATTGACTTAGTCCCCCATGTTTCCCCTCAAAGTTTTGATTTACTATCCTCTTTTAAGCCATTATGACTCAATGAAGAGCTGTTAAGACAGCTACCTGAAAGCTATAAATAGTTATTCCAAGTTCCCCTCTCAGGTGCATGACTGTTTAGAATTATGAAGTGCACATGACTTTTACCCAGTCTTTTCACCACTTAAAACCATTGATATTAATCATTCCAAGACATACAGCTGTGCAAGGAAATTCATGCAAGCTGGGAAATCCCTTGAAATAGCTAAGTCAAAAAACAAGGTTAAAGAGATCTTTACAGCAAGTTTATGATCACATATCAAAGCAAAACACATTTGAGTTATAAGATGGAGCAAAGGATTTGATCATTAATTATTAATTTCTTTATAAGCAAACAAAAATTACATATCATTACAGTACTATAAAACAGTAAAATGCTTCATTACACAACATATAACTCAGTTTTTTGGTATAAATTTCACTGGTGAATACGTGTGACCTAATAGATCATTACACTGAAAATGTATTTTCAGCCATATTCTGAATACAGTAAACTCCCTTCACCACCTAGAAAAAAAATCTCCTTGCATTTGTTGTCCCTTTATTTAGCTCTAACTTGTTTTCTTCACATATGGTCACTGAACTCCCAACTAACTTTCTGAATTAATCCCCTTCCCTGATATGCAGCTTGGATCAGATTTTACTTTTACCATTATTTTTACTCTGACAAGCTAATATACTCATACTGTTAAATTAATGAGAAAACCTTTCTTTCCTCTCATTAAAAAGATGTATTCTTATTCTTTCAGTAAGGCTTTTCCATTATATATATCAAGAAACAGGAAAATGAAAAAGGTTATAAAATTCATACAAGGCCCTCAGCAAAGTGAGAAACCTTAAGCACTGTTACTTTCCAATCTCAGGCAGGCAGCCAAGCAAGGCAGATTCCTACATGGCCCTGACCCACTGGAGGCTGACTCTTCAGGAGCTGGACCCCCAACTCAATTCCATGGAGACTGAACCTCAGTGCTATCATGTCTTGCTGCTCCAACAAAATAAGAACTCACTGAGCAGATGACAAAAAATGCCATTCATTTTCCTAAAAGAAGCAGTTCTGTCTTCATTTCATTTCTATCAAGCAGGGACAACCTGTATGCCTGTCCAATGCAGAGTAAGTGACAAGGAGCAAAACATCTGATATTCACTTCCACTAGCAGGAAAACAAGGGCAATCAGATTTCAAAATTTTACTGCATTCTTCGTCACTTTTTATCACTTCATTAGAAAAACAATGCTCCTCTAAAGCTTGTTTAACTACTAAATTTTAGCATCCTACATACTGGTCATCTAATCTTTGACAGAAAATAAAGCAACAGATAAGTTAAAGACCTATGCATTTTATAAAACAGTAACAATCAGAAAGTAATCTGAAATTCCATAGTGTTTGCATTGATACTATGTATCTTTATTCACAGGACAACATGAAATACTATTGCAAACGATTCTCAATTTCCTTTCTGTGCCTTAATGCAGACATAGTGATGACTTCATTTTTAAATGACAAAATTACTGGAGAATTCTTTGAGCAGAATACTTATGTTCTGCCCTACAGAAAGGTACAGTAATTCAGAACAACAAACATGGTGTAGTTATTAACTGCATGTTCTGGAAACAAGTTATTGCTTACAGGCTCCCAGAGCCAGCCCACTACACCCAGCCCAGGCAGAAGGGTTTGCCTGTGCTCTGCAGAGGTGCTGCAGCTCCATGAGGCACAGCAATGCAGGGAGCCTTACCCACTTCTTGCAGGCACTTCTAGGAACCATCACTGCCTTGGAAAGTCTACCCTTGAAGTGAAACAATGTTATTTCAAGTACAGTATTACCCTTACTAACCTTCACAAAGCCATCTCAAAGTCAGATCCCACTAACTCTACCATCAAGTACTGTAATGAACAATATCCAACCTCTGAACCAGCAAAGTCTCCTTAACTTTATCCCTCCAAAAAAGTCTTTTGGGACCTTCAAGGTTTGCTTCCTGACGCCTAAGTCAGTTCAGCTCATTATGCAATTATCCTATAACAGAAACATCAGGACACCTATAGGACAGCTACAGAACGCCTCTGTAGTGTCAGGCTGCCATTCACCTCAGACTGAACAACACTGCACTCCTAGGGAGAGACTGCTGAAGTGTCTGCCTCACCTCTTCCAACAGAGCCCAGCACACAACAGCTACAGAGGAGCTCTTCAGGACAGGACCCATGGCCTGGCTCCAGCTGGAACAGACAAAATCCACAGAGCATGTGCAGCTGGATGCACCTCCTGTTAACAGCTGAGAGCAATGCTGCAGAGCCCCCCCACACAGCACAGGGGAGCTGGGCTGCACAGAGACCCCTTCTCTGAGCACAGGGGAGCTGGGCTGCACAGAGCCCCCACACAACACAGGGGAGCTGGGCTGCACAGACACCCCTTCTCTGAGCACAGGGGAGCTGGGCCTGCACAGAGACCCCTCAGAGCACAGGGGAGCTGGCCTGCAGTACACTGAGTCAGTCCAAGGCCATAAAGGCTCCAAGGAAATCCCAGCCAGAATCAAGCATCACCATCACCACTCAACTGGACAAGGAATCTGCCTGCCTTTGCAGGATGGATTTGACAAAAATCTATTTGATATTGCAGGTGTATTTGATAAAAATGGTGCTCACAAGCACATTTTTCAGTCTAGACATTTCTTTGCTATGTCCTAGGCTTAAATCAGTTAGCTACATTAACACTATGTAAATCATGGGTTTAAGATAGAAGCATTATGATTTGGCAATCAGGAATGTTTTGGCTTCAGTGAACTCCAAGACAAATATAACAGCATTGAACTTCAGAATAAAAAGTTGCAGCTTTATAAAGTGATGACAAAATGCAATTTTTTATTAGAACTTAAGCTCTTAACTAGAAATTGTGCTTCACAAGACAGCTAGGAAAGTTCTGAGATACACAGCCATCAAAAATTATTTTAAAAATTGTTTCTCAGTCCCCCTGGCATTTTTGACCTTTGAGGTATGTGTAATTCTTCTTGATGTAGTGTCATTTTGCAAACACTTCTCAATAAAGCTTTGAGGAGCAAAGTTAAACATGATCTTTGCCACAGCTGCTAGTAAGAGCCTTTCAAGTGAGACTTGTGAAATTAACCATTAGGACAGTTTTATGCTGCTCTTCAGGAAACTTATGAGAAGTAGGGGATTTTACAGGTACTAAACTGAGCAGATCTGCCAGTTTCAGGGGAAAGGACACTGCAGCAGACTTCTCCACTCTGCACCCAGCAGAGACAAAAGTAAACATTTTACCTAACAGCAGTCAAATATTAGGACTAAACTGTGTTGGGGAAAAAAAAATGACAGAAGCAAATAGCCCTTCCCGGCCTCCTGTGCGTAAAGCCATGAACCAGCCTTCTCAGCTTTCACTTGGTGAACACTCAGTAAGGAAGACATCATTTTAATTTTGGGCAATTCCTTTTCCAAATAGCATAAACTACATAAAACAACAAAATAATCTTGTTTTATCACCAGATCTGTAGTGGTTTGGCTGTCTGCATGTCAGTAAGGGTGAAAAGAGATTTATAAACATGCATATTGAGTAACATTACATGGGATACATGTACAAGGTAAGGATAATTACTCAAAATTGTAGTCTCATAAATTTTGCCAGTGTAGCTGCTTCCAAAGTTTACAGAGCTCTTGTAAGAAACACAAGATGCATCCTCAGCTGAAGTCTTTAACTAGTGAACTTCCTTCAAGGTTAAGTACAGATTGGTGGGGATTCTTGGTGGCTCAGGCCTAGCAGAGAATCCTAATGGGGCAGAAGGAAAGGAAGAAAAGAAAATGTTTCTTTCACCAACCCAAACTTCTTCTTACAACTCACTTAAAGGAGATTGCACATCAGGAAAGCCATGAGGAACTGTTTATACAATATCTCCTATGGCAAATCCATCTCTCTGTACTATCCCCATTGTTTACCTGAGAATTAAATCATCCTGTTCCCCATCCCAACATCACTCCCCCCTCAATTTTTTCCTATTTATTCAACTGCTTGACATGCAAGCTGCTATAATCCATCAGCCATGGAGGAGGGCACTATAACTTACATTTTCTCAAAGGAACGTCCTCACCATTAGAGGAAATAGAAACAAATTAAAGATTGTACACCTTGGAAAAAGAAGGTAGCAACTGCTGTCAACTAAATGTTACTGCAACACAGCCACCTCCAGTGAAAATCAACTGCTCTAACTGATCTGGTTATGTAGGTCAACAAAGTTACTAATTCAAATATAAACTGGAATCACAGTCCCGTTAAGATACACCCTGAATACACTTTTACAAAAGCCATTGCTTCATTAAAGACATATTCCTGAAAGGTCAGAGTGTTCTCATCCATATTTTGAAAGGACATGCAAAATATGCATGAGTGCTGTGAGCTGCTCACCCTCAAGCTCCCAATACCAGACACAATCTCATCTGTAGCTGCCAGGGCTTCAGCCATCAATAAAAAACACCAGATTTTTAAATATGCAAGATTTCAAGAGCTTTTAAAACAGGAAGCTTGGTGCCTTCTACTCTATTATTTAATTAAAGTGAACCATAAAATGTTCCTACAGCCTTTCCCACCTTATGAACTCCATAGGTGATTCTATACTGTGGATGAGTGCACAGACAGGTGACCAGATGTTCACTCTATCAAATTAACCAAGATCATTTCTTTCCCTGTCAATCCTTGCACATCAGCAAGGATCATCCTGTCTAACAGGGTTTGCTTTTGATCCCTCCCTGCCTGCCCCAAGACAGTCCCTTATCCAAAAGAAAAGTAAGGGCAAAACCACTTAAATTGCTTAGTTCTGGCAGCAAGAACTATGGATATGGGAACAACAAGAAGATGTAATTTCCAGTTTTAAGACTGGCAAAGCATTTTATCTATTTAAATATTAGTTGTCCTGGAAAAGCTTTCTACTAAGTATCCAGCATAAATATACCTTTGGAATTTACTACAAGTTACAACAAAGACAGGGAAAGACCTTATACTGAAAACAGCTTTCCTTTCATAGTTTGCAATACAGATACCATGACAAACCCAGATCTACATAATGAGCACTCAAATATTATCTTTTTGTTCAAACCTTTTGTTTCTGAAATAACTGCATTAGAATAAAATTATTCTAATGACAGCAAACTCTTACCTCCTGCATTATGTCCTCTTCTGGAGAAGTACTTGGCTGTCGGGAATTAAGGGTCTCATTTAATCAGCTAAAGCAACCAGGCCTTGCTTATGATTTAATAAAATCATTTCAAGCCATGGAAGAGCTCATTCAAACAACATGAAAATTCTATGAATGCATGCTCAGCCCTAATCACAAAAACACTTAATAAAGTACATACCCTTAGCACCTGCCCATTGCAACAGTGACAAGCCCACGTACCTCTGAGGATCCTGGCCTACATTTCTGAATGAACGGGACTTCCTTGTTCATTAGGCAAAAACCACCTGAAAACGGTGATTTTTTTTAAAACACGGGTTAAGAGAACACTAACTTCGCAAACAAAACAAATGACGTCATAACAAACGCTATTACGCACAGAAATAGAAACTCATTTCCCTAAGGGGAAAATTTGTGACAAAACCCCAGAGAGTGCTGCGGCTGCCCGCAGTGAAGACACGGCTTTGTGCGTCAACGAGGCGCTGAATAAAAAAGGAAAAATACGTTTCTGCGTGAAGTTCCCACCCGCCGCACAGCCCCGCGGCTCAGCGCTGCCGCCAGGGCTCGGGGCGAGGGAGCCCCGGCCGGGCCCGGGCCCGGCCCCACCCGCGGGGTCCCCGCCGTCCCCCGTACCTGAGACAGCGAGGCCGCGGGGGAAGGGGAGGGTGCCGCCGGCGCCCTGCGCAGGGCCGAAGGGTAGAAGCGGCCCCGGTGGGCGCCGCAGTGACCCCGCGGCGCTTCCCGGCGCGGTTCGAGAGGCCGCAGCGTCCTGGCTGTACCGGTGCGGCCGCTGCCCCCGGTCCGGTCCCGGTGCGGCCGCTGCGCCGGGCCTGCTGCGCTCTGTTGTGGCGCAGCCCCCGCCGCTCCCTGCCCAGCGCAGCGCGACACTCGGCGCTGCTTTACAGCCGCCCGCAAAGCGCAGCCGCGCCGGCGCGCGCCCCGCCTCCCGCCGCGCCCCCTGCCGGGCGGCGGCGCCACAACGCGGACTGAGGAGGGGACGGGCCGGGGGCAGGGCGGGCTCCTGAGGGCACCGGGCTGCCCGGGATGGGCTCCTCGGGATGGGCTCCTGAGGGCACCGGCTGCTCGGGATGGGCTCCTCAGGCACCGGGCTGCCCGGCCCTGGCTGCCTTCGCTGCTACTGCATGCACACGGTTGTGTGTGTATACGTAAAGCAGTGGTGTCAGAGCATGGACCGGGTTCTGCTCGGTGGTGCCGGGGAATGGACACAAGGCAATGGGCAGAAACATGCAAAGAAAGTTCCACCCGATTTGGGAAAGAACTTCTTCACTGCGCAGCGAGCGAGTGGTGGATCAGGCTGCCCTGGTACCCCACAGCTGGACACAATCCTGTGCTGTGGCCTCTGGGATGACCCGGCTTGAGCAGGGAGGTCAGACCAGCGGGGGATCCACTGTGCTCCCCTCCAACCTGACCCTTTCTGTGATGTCCCCTCTAGGACTTGTCTAAAAGCCATTCCTTCTCTGCCCACCAAGTCTGCCCTTGACTTGGCAGTATCTATCTCACAGCTGCCTGTCCTGCAGATAGTGACAGCTGTGAGGACATGCCAACAAATCCCAACTCTCCATCCCAGCTCCTTAGCAATAGGAATTTATTTGCCTTTACTGCACAGTGCAGTCAGTGACTTGGGCTGAGGTGAGCCTTCCCCCTCTCCATTACTGATGTGCACACAAAGGGTGAGAGGAGCCTGTCGCGTACAGTGGCTGTGTGTGACAGGACAGCCCAGCTTTGGTAAAGTTCTCATACAGCAGCAAACCTCAGTGTTTGCTGACTTTGCAACTGCCAGAGGCCAGGATACCTCTGCCAGAGATGACCTTTCATCAATGTCAGGTACACATTGCAGCTCCAGACTGAAACACTGCATAGACAAGGGTCCTATACTGTCAGTGACCAACAGCTCCATTAACCCGAGGCTTTGGAGCAGAAGGATACAGTCTGGTGCACAAATAGTTAAAGATCTTACTCAGAACGCACTGCACCAGAGAGTCATCAGCACACAGCAGTTCCTACGTGTTTTGGAGGAGCTAAACAATCTGCATGCATCATTACAAAAGAAATGGGCACTGGGGAAAAATGCATGTTGACACTATTAATTGCATGAGTTTCTGAACAGAATTTCCTTAAAGCAAAAGTGGATAAAACAACGTGGAAATTAGACTCATAAGTGTACAAAATGCAAAAAGTGCTATAGCACATAAATGATATGGAAATAAAGACTTTTGCAGCTTAATGTGTGAAATGAGAACACAGGAAGAAGTGAGACCCACATAGAATGAAGGTGGAAAAAAGGATCACAGGTTATTTCATGTGGTTCCATGAGCAAAGCAACAATTAATTTCAGTTTGCAATAAAGACAATGCCACAGGTTTTCCAGCACTAACTGTCCACCTTTCTCTACATATTTCTTGTGGTGTTGGGTAGTTTTTTTAAATCATGTCACATCCAGCTAATTTCAGTAAACAAAGACACCAAGCCACAGATGAAATAACCAATGAAACTGGGGAGAATGTGAAGACAGCAACAAACAGTGGGAGGAAGGTCACATCATTCCATAGAGGTCACCAGTGGTTTGACTGTGTAAGCAATTTTGGTATTTTCCATTAAGCATTAGATCCAAAGTTGGAATACTTTACTAAAAATCAGCTGGGGAAAAACAATCAACACAATATATGGGAAGAAGTGAATCACCCTGAGGACTAATAGAAGCAAAGGAGAAAAAAAACATCAAATACAAAGAATGTGCACTTGAATGTTAATGACCAAAAGTTTTGGGTATTTGTCAGGTAAAAGGCAGCTGGATGCCAACTTCAATTACCAATGTAATTAAGTAAATGACCATAAGTCAACAACATTTTGTAGACATGAAAAAGCAAATATGTCTGTATAATAATTTAGTCTAAGTAATTCTCAGAGAGAGAAGTTTCAGTGCTATTGCAAAAATTATTCCTAATGTAGTCTTGCAACTAGTTTATGCAGCTTTTTTTTAATATGCATCCAAGGAAGAAGAACTCTAATCTTAGTGGGACACTCAAGAAAATACAGTATAGATAATATGAGAGGAAGCTAATAAAAATTTGGCTGGATTAGTTTAAGAAATGAGACAGAGGAGCACTGTGAATAAGCTGATCAGAGACTAATACCAATAAAAAAACCACACCAACAAGTTACGTATTTACCTATTTGTGTAATAATTGGTTTGAGCTCTTGTGTCAAAGGTGACAGAAAGGTTGTTCTTGGTAGAGAAAATGTAGAGTCACTCTCTGCTTAACAACTGAAAGACATATAAAAGATCATTTCTAAAACAAAACCAGGTGGCTAAAGTTTTCAGTTCACAAATTAAAAAGTAAAGCAGTCCTGATTTTCTCCCAGTGAGAAGTCACAGCTGCCAAATGATCTGTAAATGTTCTAACTGTGTATAATTCTGTAGATCTTTCTGTAACATAAAGGCAGAATTTCTAAGATCTTTATTGGCTAAGATTTCCTAACATCTATTTCAATATGGATCACCAGCTGACAAGAATCTAGTAATTTGTGGGCCAGTCATCATTAAACTCTTGATAAAAAATAGTTTGTCCATTATTGACTGGTTATGAATGTAACTTTAAAAGAAAGGTGATGTAGAAAATACTTCAGTGGCCAGAATTATTCACTATTTTTGAAAATCCAACCTTCTATCTATGCCTTTCATGGAAGTTTTTTCTGCCATTATCTTAGTGTCTTGCAGAGACAGACAGTTTTCTTGAAATTAGATTATTGATCCCTTGGAGCAAACCAAAACATTCTCCTTCTCACACTTCTTAGGTACAGAAAACCAAAAGATTAAATGGAATAATTCTAAATCACTAATGCAAATTTCAGAATGGCTTTCAGACTATGGTGTCATCAGTTCATACTGAACTCTTCAACTTCTTCTAACTACAGCTGAACAAAACCATTTATATGCACACCCCAGGGCCTGGCAGAACTAAAGACATGGAGAAGAAACTATTTTATCCCAGATCAAAACCTACCAGCCAGCAGGAGATTGCACTTTACATTTTTGGCAAAAAGATTAAAAAAAAGTAACCCCCTTATCCTGAGGTACCTGCAGCAGGTTACTTTGTTTTTGGACACAGCTCTGTGCAGAGCTTTTGTCTTGGACACAGCTCAGTGCAGGGCTGCTGGAGCAGTCTGCTGGCCCAGAATGAAAGCAAGGCACAGCTTTTTCCAGGGCTGAGCAGCAGCTTCTGGAACAGCCCCATGGGCACGGGGCCAAGAGCCGAGCTGCACTCACACAGAGGGCTGGCTCTGCTTGGGCCCTGCTGGCTGAAACCTGGCAGTGACCAGAGCAGGATGGAAGGTGCCACAGCCACGAGTGTGGCTCTGTCCCTCACAGACAGGAGAGAGGCTCTGTCCTTCACGGCCACGAGTGTGGCTCTGTCCCTCACAGCCAGGAGTGCGGCTCTGTCCCTCACAGCCACGAGTGTGGCTCTGTCCCTCATGGCCAGGAGTGCGGCTCTGTCACTCACAGCCACGAGTGTGGCTCTGTCCCTTACAGGCAGGAGTGTGGCTCTGTCACTCACAGCCACGAGTGTGGTTCTGTCCCTCACAGCCAGGAGTGTGGCTCTGTCACTGCTGGGGGAGCTGTCCCTTACTGCAGGGTATTCATCGGGCCATCCTTGACATTTACATCAGATGTACTTCTATAGACTTAACATGGACCACACTCAAGCATACATTTAAATATTTGCACAAGTTAAGGCAACTTACAATTACTAGTAATATTAATAAAATGTAAAGCCCCTTGTAATATATTGTGAAGATGACACAGAAAACCAGATAATACAGAAACATTTCTGTGTTAGCTCGCAAAAACTTTGGGATTGGTACTTGGATGATAAATAGTTACAGCCCCAGTTAGCCCAGATGAAGATCTTCATAGTGAAAATTGGAGGAATAGGGAAAAGATAAAAAAAATCCTGAAATATTGATATTATGAAAAATTGCTACTAGGAAACAAGAAGAGAATGATCATTTGCAGAATCAAAAATAAAACTTGATGGTTGTCTGTGCTACACATTTGCTGATGGAAATTTTCAAATGCAATTAATCAAAGAGTTTTCAAAAGCTCTGGAAAATAATATGCACCACACAGGTAATTTATATTTGTAAGATATATGGAAAAACAAAATACCCTGCATTGCTTATATTATATATACATAGTAAATACATATATAATGTTGATCTAGAAGTGACCCAGCAGTCACTGAGTTGATTTCATGTTGTACAGCCTGATAAGGCTCTGTAAGGTTGGACACAGCACTTTCACAACACATGACTTCTGAAATTATGCAAATCCCTGCTAAGGTCCCACAGTATCTTTCTGAGATTATCTGATAGCTTAAGTATTTAAGTTGCCATATAATTAGGAAGGTGTGGTGCATATAATTACTTGGAAATAGCTAGTTTGTTGACAGTATTTTTAATAGTTCTTTTTCTTATTCAAAGACAAATACGTCACCAAGCTTTTAGTAGAAAGATCACAAGATATTCCTATTTACTCTTTCAGTGCTTGTACAATAATGGGGCCAAACACATTTTTGTGTTTTAATGATGCATCAGTGGCTATTTTTAGAGCAATTAGGTTTAAAACAAACAAAAGCATCCTGCATTTAATGGTCTGACTTTGCACTAAGAAATTCAATAGCCATTTCCTAGCCTGTATGTATGGTTTCAGTGGTAAAATGTAAGATATTTGTGTTTATTTACAATTGGATTTATGTTCTTTTCCTTCTGTTCTCTAGAATAAT